AAAACCAACATACGAGCCACAGCCCGGCTGATCCGGAACTGACTTTAGGAGCTTGTCCAGTGCCAGCTTGAAAGACTGCCAAGGGGTCTGTTGGTAATCCCCCTTATGTCTGTGCTGGGGAGTGGGCAGTTGAACATCTCGGTCCCCCTGACACTTATTGTTATGGTCCCCTTAACGTGCCTATGACACCCCAAGGCTTTTCATTGGGGGATGGTGCATCGTCTGCCGAAGTCTTTTGCTTTCGTAGTGGGTGATTTTCGAGTGCAAGTTCGGTACTAGTCCCTCTAGGATTTTCCAGTGGTATATATAATCATGTATCTCTCCCTCCTCCGTTCCAGGGAAATACAGGTTTAAGGAACCTCAAAGCGCCTCCCATTAATTGAGGTGTTTTATCTCCCCGTTATCCGCGCCTGTGAAAGTTCTCTGTACATTTCTAGGTCGGCAATTTTCACCTGCCTTGAAAAGTGCTGTTTAGTGTGCAGCCAATATTCCACCTAGATAGAACAAGTGACCTGACGAGTTCATCATGGGCCTTTGGCCTCCCTAGTTTTTGAAGGTTCTCATTAATCCATCCGTCATTTTTCTAGTCAATGCGATTGGATACAAGGTTATGGTCCTTGAAGGTGAGATCCTCCGACATGAACAACTCCCAGGTCTTTACGTTCGTGTTTCGCTCTATTTTGGTGGCCAAATTTGTTTTGTACTCTGATGAAGATTTAATTTTCCCTCATTTTACCATATCTGAGTAATTGAAATTTCTCATCGTTGACTTCATATTGTTTTCTGCAGCCCACTGAAAGATTTGGTTTGATGTCTGCCTGGAGCTTTGCAGTGTCTCAATGGAAGACACTCTCAGCAGATCGGGTGTCTTCTGCAAAGGAAGACACGGTGCTGTGGCTGACATCCTTGTCTATGTCGGGATATAAGGATGAGGAACAAGAATGGGAGCGAAGTAACTGTGCCTTGTGGAACAGAGCTTTTCCCCATCACCGGTAGCTGCCTCGGACTTACTCTGTTTGAACGACTACTCTCTGTGTTCTGTTAGTGAGGAAATTATAGATCCATCGACCGACTTTTGCCTGTTATCCTTTAGCACGCATTTGTGCGCTATTACGCCTGGTCACACTTGTCGAAGGCTTTCGCAAAGTCTGTATATATTACATCTGCATTCTTTTTGCCTTCTAGTGCATTTGGACCTATGTCGTAGTGGTCCAATAGTTGAGACAGACAGGAGCGACCTGTTTCTAAAGAACCCATGTTGCCCTGGGTTGTGTAACTGATGGGTTTCAAGATGCGTGGTGATCTTGCTTCTAGACCCTTTCCAAAAGATTTTATGATATAGGATGTTGTGCTTTGGTCTGTAGTTCTTTGCTGTTGCTTTTATACTGCCCCCTTTGTGGATGGGGCTATGTCTGTGGTTTTTAGTAACAGTGGGACGACCCCCGTGTCCATGCTCCCCCCTAGGATGGAAAAGGCTCGTTATATAGGGCTTCCTTGCAGTTCTTGATGAACACAGGAGTTTCCCATGAGTCTGGCCCTGGGGCAGAGTGCATGGGCATGTCATTTATCGCCTGTTCGAAGTCATTTGGCGTTCAGGATAACATCGGATAGGCTTGTGTTAATCAAATTTTTGGCTCTCTCATAAAAAAAAAATTTCATTTTATCTTCGACCATCAGTCTGGTTAGCGGCTATTGCTAAAAACTGAGTCATATTGGGACTTGTAGTAGCTCCACAATTTCCTTGTTGTCATCTGGTGGACCCATCTTGTTTTAAGTAGAGGGCCCAATACTGGACGTTGTTTTCTCGATTTGATTTGCAATAGTAGAAGAAATACTTGGGTTTTCTTTCGATTTCATTTATGGCTTTTTATTTCTCCGCGATTCTGACTCCTAAAGGATTCGTTTAGCTTAAGTTCATGCTTTGCTATTTCTCTGACCAGTGTCTCCCTACCATTTCAATATATTGACCTCTTTTAGCCGCTCTGTTATCTTTTTCCGTCGCTGTTAAAGGGAGCGGCCTGTCTCTTTCTGTTTACATCTATACTCCACCTTTTTCTTAGAGGAATAAGCCCTTGTGCATACATCGAGTGCTACGAGTTAATCTGTTTCTAGGCATAAGTTTGGGGTCTGTGTTGCTTAGTATAAATCTTCCTCAGCTTATATCGTTTAGGACTTTGGTTTACTTGTCCCACTTTAAGTTTTTTGTTAATGAAGTTGAATTTGGTGAATGCACCCTCGTGACTAATCTCCTTATGTCGGTCTGGGGCTCCGTGCATACATGACTGAACCTCAATATGTTGTGAATCTTAGTATATTGGTTTTGATTAAATTTTAGCAGGAGCATACAAGTTAAATATGTTGAGAGCAGAGTTCCCTATATAAATCCTAACACCGTGATATTGTAACCCCTCTGTTTTCTGTGGAAGCCCGTTTGTTTGATTTATTGCAGACTACACACAGCTTCATAATGATTTGATTGAATGGTTGATTTACTGTAATTCTACTAGCAACCTCTTGAATACTCTATTAATAACCTCTTTAAGTAAAGCTCTAGCTATCTGTATTTCTATTTCTAACTGTACTTTTATATCAGGACAGCTTACCGGAGTACGCTCCTGGAGTTTGTTTTATATTTATTGTTTGTGTTTATAAGGGCGCCTACAACCCCATCCGTTTACAGTCTGCTTTATTGTCCAACGAATCCGTTTAAAAACCGGCCAAGGTTCGCCCAGTCGAGGGTTCGGTCCAGTCGGGGGTTCGGAGCCAGTCTGATCTGATCAGTGGGTCACTTATTTAAAACATACTGGTCGGTGTTTTTGGGCTAAACATGAAGGATCTACGGGAAAAATTCTCCCCGGGAGTAATATGTTATTTGATTGATACAAAAGTTTACTTGCGTGTTGAAGAAACCGGTGACTGCTGGCAACTCCTACAGTGACGAACGGTCGAGCCTCAACCTTGTTTATTAATCGCTGTATCTATCTTTTCTATTTTTTTCTTTTTGGCCTCCACCAAAATTTAAATGCTAAAATTTTATCACTTATAGTTGACTGGTGGAAATTTTGGAGGAGGGACGTTTTTTCTGTAGTAATAATTGCTTCTCGTTGTGTATATTGCGACCGCTGGTAACTACAGGTTATATGAATTCACAGTAACGTCTGGTATTTCAAGAAAAAAAAAACCCAAATGAAAGTCACTCCACTCCACTAAGTACCATTAAATACTGGTTGTTGCTACTACAGCACTGTATTCTGCTATTCACTGGTATCCCCTAGATTATATGCGAGTACACTAGCAGGCCAGGAAGATTATTAAAACAGCTGACCTGTGGTAAAATTTGGCGACTTCTGGCACCTGCCTCTATAGGCTTATCACTTCATTTACAAATTCACCTGTTTTCAAATGATACTTTAGCCTTTTTTCATCTTATATACTAGGGAGCCACTGTAGTATACACTATAACACTAAAGTATACACCCAATGCTATCAGGAGACTTTCTTTCCTCTGACAAGAAAAGTTCAATTATTATTATTTTTTCACACGGCACCCAGGCCTATGATTCCCCTCTGGTAGTAAACTCTGCTAGGTAGTGCACACTAATTCTCCTTTTTTGACTCAGTATATAATGTTTTCCGCCCAAGATTGGTTCCAGGTGCTAGAGGGATATATCGTATAGGATTGATGACACAAATTAAAGTTCTAGCACGTAAGAGCGACCGTGAAAACACGAGAAAACCCGGAGCACAACGAGGCACGCTGACACACACACATCAACCCCTGCAGTCTTCAAGCTGGCACTGGACAAGCACCTAAAGTCGGTTCCTGACCAGCCGGGCTGTGGCTCGTACGTTGGTTTGCGTGCAGCCAGCAGTAACAGCCTGGTTGATCAGGCTCTGATCCACCAGGAGGCCTGGTCACAGACCGAGCCGCGGGGGCGTTGACCCCCGGAACTCTCTCCAGGTAACTCCAGGTAAACTCCATGTAATAATGTCTCTTCTGATCGGCTTCAAACCCTAAACGCTGACGTATCATAACTCGAAGTATTTCTGTATTGATTTTGTTCTGTGTGGGTGCCCAGCTGCCATTATTTAAGAATTTTTATCATACTGGATTTTCGTAAGAACCAGTAAAGTATTGTTTATAGGACTGTAGAGAATATGAAATAATTTTTTTTTTAAATTTATTGATAATAGGCTTTCCTATTTTCCGTATATGGTTCTCTCCGAGATAACAAGAGAATGTTTCTTCAGTTTAGCTTCACAGCTACAGCTTCTTAACGGAAGGTTTGAATTACATTTGGGCAATGAATGTCCCAATTTACTGTTTTTATTGAAAGAATTGGAACATTAATTTCCATATGATGACTTGTGGAAGCCTTTTCTGATTCACTTCAGATCTTCACTGCTGACATTTAACTGCATTAGAAACTCAAGTTGCACTCTGCACTATTTCAGTCGCTTGCATTGAGGTAGAAGCGGCTGGGGTTATGCAATACTGGGATACTGTCTTGGATGTGAAACGTACCCAAATACATCTATTACATTAAAGGAGAAGCGCTAAACCTGTAGAGACCATACAGCACCTGGGGAATAAGAGGTATCTGGTACGGCTCCGTAAGTAGTTCAGCTGTTAAAACTTCGCGACCCACTCCCTGGACCCATTATAAACTTCTGTAATATTTTAACTACCGCCCACACCATAGGTATAGGGGTGCATAAAGATATTAAACTAAGCCAGACTTCTTGGAAGAGAAGACGTAGTAAGCAGTTCCAGTTCCTCGGACCAGGACCCTTCAGCAATGGAAATAAGTCACTGACTTTTTTGGGTTATCCTAGGTTCTCTACACATATGCTGCTATGTATGATAATCTATGTAACTATATTTGTGTATACCTAAATAAACTTACTAGCATCAATGCTAGCCTTCCGTCCCTCGCCTTGAAGAGCGGAACAGGTCACAGGAGGAGCTGGGAGAGGCGAGGAACACTCAGTTGCGGCTACTCAGCCGCTGGAGGAGGTGGTGCTGTCCTGGAGCAGTTTCATACTTGTGTACACCACGTTCTCTGAGTAGGTACACACATAGCATGTACACGTTATGTGTGATCACCGCGTTTTTCTTGGTAAACCTCGTTCCGTGTGTGGATACTAACGTACTCTGGTACTATACTTTGTTATATGTGTACACACCAGCCTAGTCATGTACAGTACCGTGTTCCATGTGTACACTAGCCTACTCTGGTACTGTACCTTGTTATGTGTGTACACTAGTTTACTCTGGTACTATACCTTGTTCATTGTGTACACGCCAGCCTAGTTTGTACAATACCTTCTCCCATGTGTACACTAGCCTATTCTGGTACTATACCTTATTCCATGTGTACACCAGTCTACTCTTGTACCACGCATTGTTCCGTGTGTACACACCACGCCTAATTACCTATGCGTACATTACTCACCCATATGTAAACTACTTCATATGCACACTACGGCATATGTGCAAAACGCCTATTTCAGGAATTATGCTTATGGTGTTGTATAGGTGATGTGTAGGCCTCGTGTAGTCGATAGTCTTCAAACATAAAGCAACACTCATCAACTGTTTACTTTATAGTTACAGTATTCTTTTAACTTCGAAATATTTTGATCTCCATTTGCTTCTCCCTTTCCATTATCGTGATTGTGGTAGTATGCGTGCATGGGACTAGTGTTGCTTTAGTGATTGTAGCGTTAATATGGTTATCAACAAGTGATCGCAGTGTTTGTGATGATTGTGCACAAGTGATTGTAGTGTTTGTGGTGGTTGCGCAGCGGTGATTGTAGCGTTTGTGGTTGCGCAGCGGTGATTGTAGTGCTTGTGGTTGCGCAGCGGTGATTGTAGTGTTTCTGTGGTGGTTGTGCGAGTGATTGTAGTGTTTCTGTAGTGATTGTGCGGTAGGGATTGTAATGTTTTTGTAGTGATTGAGCGGCAGTGATTGTAGTGTTTCTGTGGTGGTTATGCGGTAGTGATTGTAGTGTTTGTGTGGTAGTGTTTACAGTTTCTGTGGTGGCTGTGCGGCAGTGTTGAAGTGTTTTGTAGTGTTGTGGTGATTGTGGTAAGGATATTGGTGTTGTGGTGGTATGGTTGAAGTATTGCTATGGTGGCTGGGTTAGTAATGATCAATGTGGTGGCTGGATTATATATAGCAGTGATTCTGTAGTGGTTGGAATAGCAGTGATGCTGTGGTGGCTGGGTTATCAGTGATGCTGTGGTGGCTGGGTTATCAGTGATGCTATGGTGGCTGGGTTATCAGTGATGCTATGGTGGCTGGGTTAGCAGTGAAGCTATGGTGGCTGGGTTATCAGTGATGCTATGGTGGCTGGGTTAGCAGTGATGCTGTGGTGGCTGGATTAGCAGTGATGCTGTAGTGGCTGGATTAGCAGTGATGCTACAGTGGCTGGATTAGCAGTGATGCTATAGTGGCTGGATTATCAGTGAAGCTGAGGTGGCTGGGTTAGAAGTGATGTTATGGTGGCTGGTTTAGTATTGATGGTATGATGGCTGGGTTATTAGTGATGCTGTAGTGGCTGGATTAGCAGTGATGCTATAGTGGCTGGATTAGTGGTGGTTATGCGGTAGTGATTGTAGTGTTTGTGTGGTAGTGTTTACAGTTTCTGTGGGCTGTGCGCAGTGGTTGAAGTGTTTTGTAGTGTTGTGGTGATTGTGGTAAGGATATTGGTGTTGTGGTGGTATGGTTGAAGTATTGCTATGGTGGCTGGTTAGTAATGATCAATGTGGTGGCTGGATTATATATAGCAGTGATTCTGTAGTGGTTGGAATAGCAGTGATGCTGTGGTGGCTGGGTTATCAGTGATGCTGTGGTGGCTGGGTTATCAGTGATGCTATGGTGGCTGGGTTATCAGTGATGCTATGGTGGCTGGGTTAGCAGTGAAGCTATGGTGGCTGGGTTATCAGTGATGCTATGGTGGCTGGGTTAGCAGTGATGCTGTGGTGGCTGGATTAGCAGTGATGCTGTAGTGGCTGGATTAGCAGTGATGCTACAGTGGCTGGATTAGCAGTGATGCTATAGTGGCTGGATTATCAGTGAAGCTGAGGTGGCTGGGTTAGAAGTGATGTTATGGTGGCTTGTTTAGTATTGATGGTATGATGGCTGGGTTATTAGTGATGCTGTAGTGGCTGGATTAGCAGTGATGCTATAGTGGCTGGATTAGCAGTGAACCTGAGGTGGCTGGGTTAAAGTGATGTTATGGTGGCTGGGTTAGTATTGATGGTATGATGGCTGGGTTATTAGTGATGCTGTAGTGGCTGGACTTGCAGTGAAGCTGTGGTGGCTGGGCGCGCTGTATAGCCCTTGTGGTTTAGCGCTTCTTTTTTATTATAATGTGGTGGCTGGGTTATCAGTAATGCTGTGGTGGCTGGGTTATCAGTAACGCTGTGGTGGCTGGGTTATCAGTGATGCTATGGTGGCTACGTGTGATTTTAAAGTTGCTGTAGTTGTGTGG